CATATATGCAGTTGTATATATACTGTGTATATGTGAGACTGAGTATGTATGTTTGTGCACGTGCACGTGCACACATGCAAAAAGAGTAGATATAAAATTGCTAAATCCATTAGCATCAATGAACTAAAGGAAATAGTATCCATCCACATTGTGTGAAGGACCATGCGCTGAAGCCCAAAAGCCATTGTTAAATCTAGTTGGCATAGCATGACCTTAATATGTGGTCATGCTATGCCACTTCAGCAAGAGGCTATCTCTTATTTCTCTGGGTTTTTGCATCATTTATATTAATTATAGGACAAATTATTATTATATGTATATATTTTTTCCATTATGTATTAGTATTTATCTACTTCTAGGCTATAGACCATGTGGATATTTTGTGTAACTCAATCTGACATTCAGTGACAAGAAAGTACCATCTGGAGAACCCAATTTTTTTCAAGTCTATTCATGTTCCAATCTAAGTTTTGGCTAAAGTTTAGATTAATCCAGGACTTACTAATAGATGTTTTGGATAATAGTTGAAGTATCTTAATAAAGAAAACCTGACAACGCATATTATGTTTCACTACCTCATTTCAGTGTGAATATGTAGCCTCTATAGATTGGACCTGTAGGGTGTGTATATGGGGAGGGGGGGGGAATTCACTTATCAATTGTAACAACACTGGATCTTAAAAGATATTTAATTCTTTCAAACATGAAGTTTCATTTTATAAGATGTCTCTTATTAACAATTTTCTTTGAATGCTGAAAGATACATTATTATTCAAACACTGATTTCCTTAGTGAATGCAAATCCACTGTAATGACTTTTCTTTCAAAATGTTATTCAGGTAAAAGTGAATTACTTCTACAATATATTTACTGGTTGTAAAGTTCCTACAGTAAAGGTCTGTTTACCCCTGTGATCTGCTTAATTTTAAAAAAAGGTTTTTAAAAATTATTTAGTAGGAAGTATCATCCAAAGCTTGATTTGAGCTACTTCTTTTGCTTCATGAACTTTTCAAAATGGCTTTAATACAATTCAAATATGCTTTTGCCTAAACTTTTCCTCTGTCAATGTAACTGTTTTGAACTCTCTTTCAAAAACCTTTAACAAGAAAAAAAAATAAAGGAAACAGTCAGTTCACTAAAGAGAGAAGACAGCAAGGAAGAAACAGGCAGCAGAGAGAAAGCAGAGCTGCTTAACTCATTCTTTGCATCAGTCTTCACACAAAAAGAAACTATAGCCCAACCTACCAAAAACATAACTGTAAAAGACAGATTAGAAATAAGGTTAAAATAAGCAAAAATTTGGTAAGAGATCACTTGGCTGATCTTGATGAATACAAATCACCAGGACCTGACGGATTATATCCCAGAGTTCTAGAGGAGCTGGCAGATGTCATCTCAAAATCATTACCACATCTTTCAAAAATCCTGGAGCACTGGGGAACTACCAGAGGACTGGAAAAGAGCTGATGTGGTCTTCAAAAAAGGGGAAAAAACAGACCCAAGAAACTACAGATCAATCAACTTAACATCAATACCTGGGAAGACACTGGAAAAGATAATAAAAAAACAGATCTGCGAACGTCTAGAAATGAGTAAAGTAATGACTAGAAGTCAGCATGGGTTTGTTAAAAACAGATCATGCCAAACCAATCTTATTTCATTCTTCAACATAGTGACTAAATTAGTAGACAAGCAAAATACTGTGGACATAATATACTTAAACTTCAGCAAGGCATCTGACAAAATAGATCACAGTGTATTTCTTTGTAAGCTAGAAAAAAGTGGGATAGATAGCATCACCATCAGATGAATTTGTAACTGGCTGATCAACCGTATTCAATGAGTAGTCCTTAATGGTACTATGTCTGCATGGAGGGAAATAAGGGGTACCACAAGGTTCCATCTTAGGCCCAATACTCTTCAACAAATTCATAAATGACTTAGATGAGGGAATAGAAGGGGAACTTACAAATTTGTGGAGGATATTAAACTGGCAGGAATAGCCAACACCCTAGATGATAGGCTCAAGATCTAGATGGATCTTGACAGACTTGAACATTGGGCCTTATCTAACAAAATGAAATTCAATGTAGAGAAAACTAAAGTTTTACATTTAGGCAAGAAAAACCAAAAGTACTCATATAGCCTGGATGAAACCTGGCTAAATAGCAGTATGGATGATATTGGAGTCTTAGTGGACAACTAATTAAATATGAGCCAACAGTGTGCAGCGGCAGCCAAAAAAGCCAATGCAATCCTAAATGCATTAACAGAGGGATACAATCAAGATCAAGTGAGGTACTAATACCACTCTATAAAGCCCTAGTAAGACCACACCTAGAGTACTGCATCCAGTTTTGGTCACCACCCTATAAAAAAGATGTTGAGACTCTAGAAAAAGTGCAGAGAAGAACCACCAAGATGATTATGGGACTGGAGGCTAAAACATACAATGAATAGTTGCAAGTACTTGGTATAGCTAGTCTAGTAAAGAGAAGGACCAGGGGAGACATGATAACAGTTTTCCAATACTTGAGGGGCTGCCACAGAGAGGAGGGGGTCAAGCTATTTTCCAAAGCACCTGAAGGCTAGACACAGAATAATGGGTGGAAACTGATCAAGGAGAGATTCAACCTAGAAATAAGGAGAAATTTTCTGACAGTGAGAACAATCAACCAATGGAACAAATTGCCTTCGGAAGTTGTGGGAGCTTCATCACTGGAAGCCTTCAAGGACTGGACTGCTATTTGTCAGAAATGGTGTAGGGTCTCCTGCTTGGGTGGGGTGTTGAACTAGATCGCTTACAAGGTCCCTTCCAACTCTGTTGATCTGTTAAACCTAAACATAATCTAAGTTGATTTTTGGAAAAGTCAAGTATACCAGTCAATCAAATTGGCATAACTGATTTACATCATCATTTATTGATTCAAATTGTGATTTTTTTGAGACATTTGAACGTTAAAAGTACCGCCCCTTTTATATGATGTAATAAAAGTTCATGTCCATGGTCTGAATTCAGTCAAATATACAGTATGTGAATATATGCTGATGCACAACTAATTTTATTGATTCCTTTAAATTATTTTCTTAATTATGCTATTAATGTATTCTTTATCACAGCTAATAAAATTTCCTTCTCAGTCTTATACCAGAGTATGTTCAAGGTAGGTAATTTATACGGATTGGTTGTAAGATGGTTTTTATGCATTTGTTACTGCACAACGAGTATGATACTAATATCTACCTTTGAAAGATCATTTGGAATCTTATTCTTTTAGCTTATTTTTCAGGATAAAAATCATGTTTTAAAAAAGTGAAATTCTGATTCAATACACAACTGCACATACATTTTCCTTTCCTTTATTTACATTGTTTTGCTCTAATAAGCCAGGCTGTTTTGTCTTTATATATTTTGTAGTCAGTCAGCAAAGGAAAATAATCACCAAACCTTAATTTATAAAGGTGTTCCTGTTTTGTAAGAGTAGTGTAAAGGTGCTTGTTTGTTTGTGTATACACAAACACACACATACATGCATGCATATTGAAAAATCATGCATTCTCAATCATGTATATGTAAATCATTAATCATAATTAATGAGTGGCGGCCAATTATTCAAATATGGATGGTTGCTTTTCAGTTGTACTATGCTGAAATTAAATGGTTCTCTTAGATTTCATCAAAAGTTACCTGCTATTGAACAGAAATCATAGCATAAAATAAAAAAATCATAGCATAGAATTATGGAGATTCTTCCATGTAGTAACATTTCTTTGGGGAAAGAAAGTTCTTACAAATGGTATACATTGTTAGAAAGATCTTACAAATGGTGTATATCATTCACATAACTGAAAATCTTGTTACTTCTAATTTGAAGCAACATTACTTCTAATTTGTGTTCATTTTTGTCAAAATGTAGTTGTTTATTAGTAAACAGAAAAATCAGGATTGTGTAGCATACTGAGAGCATATTGTCTGATAAGGAAGGCTAGGAGAGAGAAAACATACACTGACGACTTTTGAGCTATAATTTTTTCATCTTTTGGTACTTGTTAATATAAATTGAGTCCAGATTAAATTAATCACACTGTTGAATTGAAATCAATAGAAAAACTGGTCAACATCATCTCTAATTTAGTTATATTGGTTACAAGAGACTTAAATAATTGCCAAGCAGTTGAAATTAAACCCATAAACTTCATCTATAAATTATGAATACAGCATGTGGAATTTTTAAAAATAAGCTGACATATTCATTCATTACATAAAAGAGTTCATTCGCTGCATAAATGAGTCAAAGCAATGATTTTAACTCAATTCTGCAATGCAAATCATATTTCTATAAATCTGTATAAACCTTGTTTTTACAGCAAAGCACTATGGTTGATATTTCAGTGTTCAATTTGCTTTATTGTGATCACAATAACTTTTTAGTAAATGATTTGGGAATTATGTGGCTTTCAATATTGCATTTCCAAATTTTTCAATAGTTATCTGAAAAACAGATTTTTGTAAAAGACAATGGTTTAGACTGCTTTAATTTTCATCACCAAGAGAAGAAAATAGAGCATATTGACTTGGGAGTGGGAGTTCCATTTTGTTTTAAATCATGAATTTCATATAGGTTTTAGTTGATATAGGCTTTTTCCTTGGAGAAAATGATTCATGATTATTTGATATTGTTTCTGTTTTTAACAATTGTAACACAGGAAGGAATTTTTTATATCAAAATATCTGTGTTTGAGTAGGAAACACTTAGATATCACAAGATATAATTAATATTTCATTTAGACTTTCCTTCAGACTTCCTCCATTATGTTCCCTATATTTGTTATTTTAACATTTATTTTTACCCTTGATTCATTCCTAGTTCAAAGAATGTTTGACATAATTCACATTTATTTTCCATTTTGTTCATATAACAATGCTATCTTACAATTTAAAACATGCAATATCTTGACAAATTCTGTGTCTTTTACAATGTTTAAAATATGATGAAACATTTTATAAAGGCAACTACCTGGTATTTTATTGTACAGATTGAAATGATATATGGGTACCGGGCTGTCTACAAACAATCTGAGTGTTGATGCTCTTCTGGATTATTGCCAGATTGATATTGTTACATTAAATGCTTCATTTTGTTCAGTGAAACTGGGTTGAGGAATAAAAAGAATAAGTAGTTATTCCAGGAAATAGATTGATTTCTAAGAAACATAAGTGTTGAAGAAAAGTTGACAATTCCAGGAAATAAGTTGAAGGCGGAATCCAATGAGTTGATTTTCTGAAGTAGAAGGGAATCAGATATGGGCCTGAGATAACTTCTCTTGCAATCAAGGATCCCAGCTTGTCCTGATTTTGCTTAGGGAAATTTTAGCGGGAATGTTGTAAGGCAAAGGCACATTTTTTGTAGGCAGCATAAAGCAAGAGAATGGCACGCAGCATTTGTCGACACATGGCCATAGCCATGTGCACTTGTGGTTCATGGAGGCCATGGGGTCTGCGTTGCTGGGGACTTATCACTTGACAGAAGGCTGAGCGCTCTGAAACCCTCAATGAGCCAGTCCAGTGGGGAGGCTGTGCAGTTACTAGATGCCCAAAGACCGAGTCAAGCCCTATAAGCCTCACTGCCTGTGGTTTGTGCACAGCCCTATTGCATGCCCTAGGTTCTCCTGCCAATTGGGAAGGTAATGGTTGCTTCATCCCAGTTTTAGCACTAGACTCCAGCACTAGACTCAGCCCCTGGAAGCAAAGTTGCACTTCCAAATCAGTGGCAGTGGCTGGGCTTTGCCCTCCCCGGAAAGGGTGTTTAGTGCTGCTGGGTCTGGGCACAGCACCCCTCAGCCATTGCAGAGATTCATCCAATGGGGACCAGGGTGCCCACAGCTGGTATCCACTGGCCATGGTCAGCACTTCCTAGTTGCTGCTGACCTGCTTTGCCCAGGATCCTGTGGCATGTTTTCTTTGCCTTGTGCCCTTGGCAACCTATTATGAGTAGGTATATACCTTAGAACATACAAATGAATCAGTGTTCCACTAGCTCCTCCTCCTGGTTCTAAAGAATAGTGTGCTCTATGGAGTGTCTATAACCATTCGTTAGGATCCTGATGTTATTTCTTAGAAATAAAGTCTTCATCCTGCAATAATAGAGGGATCTTGCAGATGGTCTGGGGAAAAGGGAACTTGCATGGCTTTTGCCATTGTCTGGCAGTCTTCTCTTTGCTAATCTGCCTAGAGAAATTATGGAACTATCCATAAAATACAGTGTTAGAACTGCAGTTGAAAAGGCAAACTGGTGAAAATGTTTCTGCTTCCTGTGGCATTTTGCACTTGTGGCAACATAGTCAGTAAAAACATTCTTCTTTCAGGGTTAGGGGGGCGGGAAATCTAATACTTCTATATCTTAATCTCCAAACAATACCACATTTCTACTTCTGCGTGCATTTTAAGAAAAACAGAAACCTACAAATTGAAGGCATTTTCAGTCTGACTTTGAACATTTAGGCTCATTGCTTACATTTTTAATTTTTAATTACTTATGTTGTCTTGTACAAACTGATTTCTTTGAAAACACTGTGGCCAGCAAGTTCACTTGGTGATTGTCATAAAGGTTGATGTTAGCCAATCATTTGGTATCTTTCCTGTTTCATATATTTGATTGAAGAGCTGCAGTAAAAATTTATTCCCATTGTCTTCCAGCAATTTTAAAATTTCTACTGGGATATCATCAGGTCCTGTAGATTCATATTATACAAAACCATGTTTTGTTTAATCATGCTGACTGGATAATTCTGAATAACCAGAATTTGCTTGGTTTACACATTGTGCATTGAACCCATGATATTTTTTAAAAAAGCAATTTCTGATAAAAACACAATATTTCTTTTTTATTTAGAAAGAGTAATTGCTTTAATAAAGAAAAATACCCTCAGCTGGTATTTTAAAAAAATACAGAATGCAAATACTTTTTCCAATTTGCACAAGTAATTGTGCAAATTGCACAAGTAATTGTGCAAATTGCACAAGTAATTGTGCAAATTACTTTCTTCAATTTCTTCTCCTGATAGGATGATTTAAAAAAAAACACCAAGCAAATCAAATGGGAGAAAAGATGGAAAAAGGCAGGGATGGGTTCCAAATCCTGTCACTACTGGTTCGCTCGTGCATGTACGCACTTCCTTGTGGTGCTTCTGCACATGTGCAAAAACTTCTGCACATGCACAGAAGTGTCTGAGCGGGTGGGCAGAGCCTCCTGCCCCCACCACTACCGGTTCACCCAATCTGGTGCAAACCGGTAGCAACCCACCACTGGAAAAAGGAATTAAATAGTAGCTGGTATATAAACCGTGATGAAAATCTTGATGAAACACCAATTTTTAAGCTGTATCATTTGTTAATTTCATTTCTGACAGTATACAGGAGTCATCCATGATGTTGTGCTAGGGAAATAAATGAAAATATAAATTGTTTTAACTGTGATATTTTAAATAATTATAAACTCCAGTAATGCAAACTAATAAAAAATGTATTACAATAAGTTGGTACATGATGAGGATTGATTGCAGCAGAGATAATGACCAGTTCTCCACCTTTTGTACAAGAGAAATTGTATGCATAAGAATGAAAGAAATGATGCCAGTACTTGAATTGATTAAAGGCTAGGTTGACCTGATTGACAGGCCCATTAAAAAAAAAAATCTGTACAGACCATGCTCAGAAACTAGGTGCTGCCATTTTCTCAGATTATCTGTTAGCCTCCAGATAAATTAGACATCATCTGACATTAGTCTCAGCCAGTGAGGCTGAAGTGCATATTGTCTGAGAAGGAGCAGAGTTCAGATTCAAATTGGAGGGCATCAGTAGTAGAAAAGTTGCTAGAAGGCCTGGTGGTAGCCTAGCAGTTAATTATGTGAACAGATTAAAGACCTATGGCTTTTGTTATTTGTTGTTAATCTTTGATATAAAATATATATAATTGGCTAAAATATGGTTGTGATGGCATTATATCACAACCATAGGAATCTTTATTAATTATTTTATTACTTTATTCAATTATTATTGTGTCTGTCATCTGCACCTCTATAGCTGTCTGGTTTGGTTCTGCAGCCCAACAAGACAGACACAGACTTCAGAGAATAATTAGAACTTCAGAAAAAACAATTGCTACCAACCTGCTTTCCGTTGAGGACCTGTATACTGCACGAGTCAAAAAGAGGACTGTGAAAATATTTACAGATCCCTCACATCTTGGACATAAACTGTTTCAACTCTTATCCTCAAAACGACGTTATAGAGCACTGCACACCAGAACAACTAGACACAAGAACAGGTTTTTCCCAATCGCTATCACTCTGTCAAACTATTAATCTTCTCATCGTTCCCATCACCCATCTCCTCCCACTTATGACTGTATGACTGTAACCTTGTTGATGGTATTCTTACGATTTATATTGATATTGTTTCCTGATTGCTTATTTGTAACCTATGACTATCATTTAGCGTTGTACCTTATGATTCTTGATGGACGTATCTTTTATTTTATGTACACTGAGAGCATATGCACCAAGGCAAATTCCTTGTGTGTCCAACTACACTTGGCCAATAAAAATTCTATTCTATTCTAATCTATTCTAAAGTGAAACTATCAATTTATATTTACAGTATCTCTGAGAAGCAGGTGGCATTTTGATATTAACTTTCACGTCACCTAGTATGTTCTTGTCTTCTGAACATGCTGATTGAAATCTTGAAAGTATTTTTCTTCTCAAGTTCAACTAAACAGTGTCAAGGCAGCAGCCTGATTTCTTTTTGTTAAATGTCATAATCATAGCTGATTAAAAGGACAATGTAACCAGTTAGAAAACCAAACTTAACTAAATGAGCTCCAGAACCATCCTGTCCCAAGGTCCGGAAGATCAACCAAGTTATGAATGATTTCCTCAGTGTTATAAGGGTGGGGTGTGTCAGATCCATGTATCTGCCATTCTTCAGTGGAAGAAGGGGGTGGATTTGGATTTGTCACATTTAGTTCTTTTTCTATGTATCCTAAGTATCCTATTTCTTGCTGGGTCTTTTTGTATAACCTGATTTATAACCATTGCCTGGCATCTAAAATGCCCGGAGAATTCTCACCTCTTGGGGAATGAGAGAGGAGGGAGGGCCATGTGGATTGAAATGCCAGAGGATGGCCCTGAGAAGCTCTCCTTATCTGTTTCTCAGAGAGGCTGGTTCATTTTCACACTTGCGGATTGGTGGCAATCCACATCAGGCAATGGAGAGGGGTTCCTGATTTTCTTTATCCTGGATTGTATGCCCTGGGGAACCTCAGAGCCTGCTTTGAATTTTGACTTGCTTTTATCCCTTTTCAATAAAAGGTTCCTTTTGAAATACAAAGTTTTCAAGAGTCTATACTTTCTTGAAGGGGCGGAGAGGCTGGTCCTTACAGGTTGTGTAAAAATTTCTGCCTAAAAGTAATTCTAGAGAGCAGGCACTGCAACAGTGAAGGTGCACTTCCTGGGCTTCCTAAAATGACACTGATCAACAGGACTAGCTATCATTTGCTTTTCACTCATGGGTTGGGAGTCCAAGAGGATCTTCAAACTGTACACAAACCTTTAACGGGGAAGCGTGCTTACCTTGCTCAATCATGCCCATACCTGATGGGCAGAAACAATGAGAGATAAACAAGTCCTATGCTAGTGTAGAAAGTTAGCACCTACCCCTCTCCTAGAAGAATTAAATATTTTGAGAAATATTAAAAAGGCAGAATATTATATTTCCCTAAAAGAGAAACATGCTCCTGGAAAGCAGCCCCCACCTTTCTTTATAGCCCCAGCAGGACTGTGCCAGCCTATCTATAAAACAAAAGACCTTCAGCTCCAAGGTGATGGGATTAAGACATGTTGCTCCAGGACATAATAGGATTATCTAGCAGCAGGGCTCACTGCATTGCAAAATCACCTTGGGACATTGCATCACCCTCCAGGCTTCAACCAAACTTGATTCAGAAAAACAGATCAGACAAAAATTCAGATCTGTTAATCTGTTAAACATGACCTCACATGGCCCCATGGGAGTCTGACTACAGCCAATAGAATACATTTCTTGCACAGGAACAGGAAGCTCAAGGGCAAGGCCTGAGAGAGGGTATAAATAACCTTCACTCTCCATTCCATGTGGTCAGCTGCCCAGGCTCTCAAACCCATGTGGTCCTGTTCATCAATAAACCATCTTTCCAATCACCCTCCATGTTTCCAATGTCTTTCTCTCTACTTGGAACTGAACCAGATGGAACTAGATTTCTTCCAACACTATGGTGTGTTTTCAAGATGATAACCAAAACTTTGAATGGCCTGGAAATGAGGGGTAACTAATGCATTTCACATAACACTGGGTCATGTCAGCATAATCATGTCAACATAATGCCACCCATTATTGTCTATGCTGATGTATTCTGGGCCAGCTGTAGCTTCCAGACAGTTTTAAAGAGCAGCCGTGTGTAGCTTGCATTATAGTAATACAACTGTACATGTTATGAATTATCAGATATATATTGATGGTCGTGCTCATTTGGTTCTATGAGGAAGTTATTTGGTCAATACAGCTTCAGGTTCAAAAGATTGTTTTTATTATTTACAAATATATACATGCATACGATAATGCACAGGATGTCCTGTTACATTTTTACCCTAACTGTATGACGCAGATGTTGAGAGGAGAGAGAAGTTCACGTGTTGTCTCACTGAGAGATAGATGAGAGATAGAGAGAAAAAAAGGGGAAGATATCCAAGTGGTTTCTAGGTAAGAGTCCAATAAGAGAGTTCATTGGCTGATATAGTCACATGATGTCTGTAAAGACTTAATCCCTTCTAGTCTCTGGTGCATCATATGCAGGAAATATTTGACACACCCCTTCTATTGCCAAGTGTGATGGA